CCGCCGCACACACGCTCCATCCACGCCCCAGGGCGGTCGCCCTGCCAGCAACCGTCCATAGCTGCATCCCTACTGCTCAGTACAGCGTGTGCTGCCCCTCCCCTCTGTGCTGCCGTCACGACCGCACGCTCAGCGCAGCCGCGCACGCCCTCCGCGCCGGCCCTCCGCGCCGCCGCCACAACTACACCTGGCGCACAGCTGCGCAGCGCAAACACGGCGCAGCACGCCCCCAACCTCTACCCCATCCCGTCCTCCACGCCGCGCCATGCGCCGGGAGCTGCTCGCGACCAGTCCTCACCCGTGAGGATGCGGCCGCGGATCGACACGTTGCCCGTGAAGGGGCACTTCTTGTCGATGTAGGTGCCTGGGTTGTGTGTGTGTGTGTGTGTGTGTGTGTGTGTGTGTGTTCACGCGATGGCGTGCAAAGCATGCGCATGCAGGAAGCGCCAGCCAGTGCTGCGCGGGAACAGCGGCACAGCACACGACCGCGGCGCGGCGCCGCTGCGCTCACCCTCGATGGCCTCCCTGGGGGTCTTGTAGCTCAGGCCCACATTCTTGTAGTAGCGCTGGCCGAACTTGCCGGGGATCTTCTTGGTGGGCTTGCGAAAGCTGCGTCGAAACCGCAGGCGGCGGGCGGCTGCTCAGGGACCCCAACCGCCTTGCAACCAGGTGTCGCTCATTGATTCGCGTCGCGGTTCTCAACGCGCCCCCAAGCCCCCCAAGGCCCCACAGGCTGATCATCCAAGCCTGGTCACTCACCCGATGTTAGACCCAAGCTGCTTCTGGTACGCGCGCTCGGTCTGCGGGGCGAGTTCGCACGCACAGCGGCCCGGTGTAAGTGACCATCTAGCACCGACAGCCGGCGACACGGGGTGGCTGCTACACTGCCTGCAACGTGACGCTGTCCCTGATTCCGGAATGCTGGGTGCAAGCCGTGACCTGGCCTTGAACTGATGCAGCTGCTCCCAGGTGCCGCTGCCTGCCGGCGGCGCAGCGCACGCTGCAGTGTGCAGACTGCCGCCAGTGCTGCCTCATGCCCGACTGCCCTGCCAGCGACGTGCGCTGTGCAGATCTGCCTCGAGAGCTTCGCGGACCAGCAGAAGGCTATGCTGGGCGAGCTGCCGCAGCACTCCCGCTCGTCTGCAGGCGAAGGCTGAGCGCTGTCTGGCCCTTCAGCACCGCCAAAATCATGTAAAGACAACAAACACTTCCAAAAAACACCGCTTTGCGAGGAAGCAGCACGCCCGCGGGCCAGCAGCAACACACAGCCTGGCGGCGACTACAGAGCCCTGCGCGCACCTGCTCAGCCATTGTGACGAGTCCACAGCTGCAGCTGCCAAACGCACGGACGCTGAGGAAGGACCGAGTCACGCGCAAGTGTCAGCCTATGTTCAGAGACGGGAGCGGAAAAGGCGGTGGCCGTCGAGTTTGAATACGTGATTTGTATTTAATTCCCGTGCCTTTTTTAGCGACGCAACACGCGTTCAAGAGCCCTATGATCTGGTCGCCGCGTCTGTTGCACGACACTGCCAACGTGCACAGTTCCTGGTTATTTCGTCGCGGTGGCCTTGTTTACGCACGTTAAGTTGCTGTAACGACGCTGGGTAGTGCGTGCGGATGAACTCCAGCCACCGCCGCTCAGCCGAGGGAAGGCCGCTCATCAGCGCCAGAGGCCAGAGGAGAGCCGCATTCAAACCCGCTTGACTGGATTGCATCGCCTTTTGAACTTCAAGACAAGTTCAATCCTTTTGCTTCCCTATGCAGCACCGCATCAGCACCCCATCCTACCACCTGTGGGCGCACCCCTGCCTGCAGCACGCACACCGACGCTCAGGCGTGCACGCTGGGCGCTCCCCTGCCTGAGCACGCAAGTGATGTCACCCCATGCATATTACATGCAAGAAAAAGCAGGGCAGCCCGGCTGTAAAATGTCGAGGCGTTACTCCAATGTGCGCAACATCTCGGGTAGGGTTGGCATTGTTGCGAAAAGGATCAGGTCGGGGAGGCATTTCAACAGGGGGATCGCTAATCAACGCTGGCCCCAAGCCCTGGGCGGGCAGCTAACACAGATGCGTGCCGCGCTGCGAGCGCGAAAGCGGCCCGCCCTCATGATGCATGCAAGGGCATGCGCTGAGGGGCGCTCACGCGCCCGCCCCTCCCGAGATATGTCGTTTTCGGGTGGGAGGGGCGCACCAGAGCTTAGACACAGGGAGCAACAACTGCCATCAGACACAGCCCTCGTGCGCACAGGCGCCGCAGACGGCAGCGCGTGCCGTCTGGTGTCTTGTGCCAAGCGCTGTGGCGCGGCCAAGGGCGGGGTGGAATCAAAACTGGTACAGCAAAACAGCTCGCCGCCCCTGCGCCATCACAGCCGGCAGGGCCCCGGCACAAGGGCTCGAGTGGTGCGGTGGGCGGCAGCGCTCGGCAGGGTGCCGACTCGGTGCGCCGCCCCGCCCACGCCCGGCCACGACCCATCTGCAAACAGCGAAACCGGATTCGTTTGTTTTTGTGCAGCTGCGCGGGGGCTTGCAGACGCGGGGATTGCAGGCTGGAGGGGCGCGGCGTGCGGGCAAGGTTTGCGCGCTGGTAGGGAGGCAGCCGCCGCCAGGGAGCAGAGCTGGCGCCCTGCACAGCAGGCTTCGTATGAACGCACATCCGGCCGACCACCTCCGCGCCCGTGGCAGGATCCAAGCCCACGGGGCGTGCAAACTACACGGCTCAGGCGCGGCTCAAACGGCGGCGCCGGTCTTGGCGGCGAGCTGGTCTGATGAGAAGGTGACGCTGCCGTTGCCGCCGCCCGCGGCCTGCTTGCGGCGGCGCGCTTCCACCATGGTAACGGCCATCTCCATGATCCCACTCCTGGAGTTGTGGTTGGGTGGGGTGCCGGGTGCGGGCGATGAGCATGGAGTAAGAGCAGAGCGTGTACCAAAATGCTGGATGGCTCCACGATGCATTGGGGACAGCTCGCCTCAAAGGCGGCCCCTGAACCACCTGAGCTGAGAAGCGAGGCGCCCCGAGGCCGGCAGATCCCCTGCGCCGCGGCCCACCTGCCCAGCCCCGGCGGCTGCACCGGCTTGTTGGTCCAGCCCTCCCTGCTGGCCAGCAGCTTCTCCCACGCCTCGTCAGCGTCCACCGCCGCCTCGATCCGCTGCGCCTCGGCCTCGTCGAAGGCCCACGTGCCGGCCGCAGTGCGT